CAGCCACTGGCCCCTCAGCCCCTTTCACCTCCCTGCTCTGGGTTGCCAGCTTCACACAGCACCAGCAGCCACGGAGCAGGAGAGCTGCTTTGAACTGCTTTTTTTTTCTGGCACACTTTGCTTCTCTCTCCCACCTCCACCCCTCGACATCTTTATCCCTCCTTGAATTACTCCCCCCTCACATGTTGCCCCCTCTCTCTCCTCTTCACCCCCACCCATGAAACATGCTTGTGTCCCCCCCACCCCCTCACCCCGGCACCGTTTCCGTGCCCCTTTTTCCTTTCTCTCACACCTGCACTGTTCTTTCTGCCTCTCTCTCCTCCACAGGGGCTGTTAGAGCCTCTAGTATTTTCCCGATCCTGAGTGTGATTCTGCTTTTCATGGGTGGACTCTGCATTGCAGCCAGCGAGTTCTACAAAACCCGACACAACATCATCCTTAGTGCTGGCATCTTCTTCGTGTCTGCAGGTAAAGGGATGCACAGAGCCTGAGGCTCTGGAGATGGGCTTCTAGATGTGGGGGGGGTTCCCAGCCAGGGCATCCTGCAGGGGTGTGGTTGCCTAGGCAGGAGTTCATGCTTCCTTATTGAGGGTGAAAGCAGCCTCCCAGGGGTGCCTCTCTGCCCTGCCTGCTCGCCTGGCAGAGACAGGCAGCAATGCCTTGCAGGCAGGAGCTTTCCTGCTACTTGGGAGCTGCTGGAGACAGTGAGTTTCCCTATGCCCACCATCTCTCAGGAACCAGCCAGGACTGCAGTCCAGGGACGCGGCAGGCACGCGAGGAGGGTCTTGCCTGGGTTTCCCAAGGAAAGCTGCCCAGCGGGAGGGGATGGATGGCTGAGGGATCTCCCGTCCCCACCTTTTGGAGGCAGGGGGTCAACCCCACAGCCCCACCACCACCATGTGTGACCCTTCTGACATCTCCCTTTCTCTCCCCCACTGGCCGGCTGGCAGGTCTGAGTAATATAATTGGCATCATCGTATACATATCAGCCAATGCTGGAGACCCCTCCAAGAGTGACTCCAAGAAGAACAGCTACTCCTACGGCTGGGGCTTCTATTTCGGGGCCCTGTCCTTCATTATAGCTGAGATGGTGGGAGTGCTGGCTGTCCACATGTTCATAGACCGGCACAAACAGCTACGCGCCAGCGCTCGTGCCACGGACTACCTCCAGTCCTCCGCCATCACCCGCATCCCCAGCTACCGGTACCGCTATCAGAGACGCAGCCGCTCCAGCTCCCGCTCCACCGAGCCTTCACACTCCAGGGATGCCTCTCCCGTCGGGATCAAAGGGTTCAACACCCTCCCATCAACAGAGATCTCGATGTACACCCTGACCAGGGACCCGCTGAAGGCAACCACCACCCCCACCGCCACCTACAACTCCGACAGGGATAACAGTTTCCTCCAGGTTCACAACTGTATCCAGAAAGAGAACAAGGACTCTATCCACACCAACACAGCCAACCGCCGGACCACCCCGGTATGAAGCCGTCGCCAGGAGCTGAAAATGGGGCAGGAGTGGGCAGGAGGAGACGGGGTGGGCTGCAGAGTGGGGAGGGTGGAAGGGGGTAGGAGGCAGCAAGGGAGCGGGCAGGAGGAGGTGGAAGTGCCCCTTTGTGGGGGGGTGGGGACCTTCCCAAAGCAAAAAAAAATATAAAAAAATATAAAAATAAAAAATAAAAAAAATCCACAGGAAAAAAAAAAAGAACAAAAAGAACAAAAAAAAAAAAAAAGAACAAAAAAAACCACCAAACAAACAAACAAAAACAACCAAGGAACAAGCAGTCAAGTGGACAAACAAGAGAGCGAGCAAACAAACAAACACACAGGAAATGCGAGGAAAGAGACAGCAGTGAAAAAAAAAATCTTTAAAAAAAAAAGAAAAAGAAAAAAAAACAAAAAAAGAAAAACTTTAAAACTGAGAGAAAGAGATTTAAAAAATAGAAATAAATTTAAAAGAAAATGCATGATTTCCCATGTACCATTATTTTAACATTTAATAAAAACAGACTTAAAAAAAAAAATAAAAGGGAACCAAGAAATAGCAAAGGACAATAAATCAAGTGGGAGGAGAAGGAGGAGGCAGCTCTTTGGATTTTGGGGGGTTTTATTATTTAGTTTTATGGTTTCTTTCCCACTTACCTTTAACCCAGCACAGGCTCCCTGGGGGACAGGAGATGGGGGTACAGCCAGCAGCGACGTCGATGTCTTTGGGCTGGTTACAGAGGATACTGGGGTGCCAAGGTCAACAGTGACCCGCTCTGTTTCCCCAGGATCTGTGAGGATCTGCTCCATTCCCCTGGGATCCATGGGGATCCGCTCATCCCCCACAGGTCCTTAGGGGTTCAGAGTGAATCCAGTCCCTAGGAAGCTGAGGCTCAGTCACCCCTCCGCATTGTCCTCAGGAAGGGGTCCCCGTTTCCTGGCCCTGGGAACGCTGGGGTTAATGGTGACAGTGCAAAATAGCAAACAGACACAGTAAATAAAGACACACACACACAGAGATAGGAAAAAAAAAAAAAAAAAAAAAAAGACAAAAAAGGTTTCTTAAAAAAAAAGTGGCAATTTTTTTAATAAAACAACAGGTATAAATAAATGTAAATATAATAAGTGGATTCAGTTGCAAGAAAAACAGATAGTTTTGGTTTGGTTTTTTTTTTTTTTTCATTTTTTGTTTCCTCCAGCTTTAAACTGTGAAAAAATAAAGCGGAGAAAAGACAGCAGGGAGTGGGGTGGGAGCTGCAGGCAGAGGGCGGGGGGGCTGCCAGCAGGGAACGAGGGATCCCATCCTTTCAGGATGCTGCTGCTGCTGCCGCTGCTGGCGCGGGTGGGGGGGGACACCCGGGG